AGTGTGTCCTTTGCCATTCCCTATCACTCCTCCCTGAGAGAGACTTCACCCTGATTCATAAGGGAAAGGGGATGGCGTATTCTCTTAGCTACTTCCTCCTGAAAAGGGACGCTGTGGGTTTCAGGGTGAATATCTTCTCTCACTACTCTAAGATTTTTTTAAAGAAATGTCAAAATGTCTTGCAGAGTGGCTGCACCATTCTTCAATTCCACCAATAGTGTATGAGAGTTCCAATTTTTCCATATCCTCGCCAAGATTTATTGCTTGCTGTTCTGTTAAACTTTGCTACTACTACTGCTGTGAGAGGACATCTAATTATTACTCTGATTTGCATCTCTCTGAATGCCAGTGATTTTGAGCATTTTTTTCGTGTGTCAGTTCTCCAACTGTCTCCCTTTGTGAAAAGCCTTTCCATGTCTATTGCCCATTTTGTTACTGAATTTTCAGTCTCTTTCTTATGGAGACCTTGTAAAATTCCATTATGAGACTGTTGTCTAAGTGGTCATTTCCACATTTTTTTCCAGTATGTAGGTTTTCTTTACACTTGGAAAAAAGATTTTCATGCACACAGAGACTTAATTTTTAGAAGGTCCTAGTCACTGATTTTGTCTTCTCTCGGTTGTATATTTCTGGATATATTTGAAGGCCTATTTTTTTCTGGTTATATTTGAAAGTCCCATATGTTAAGGCTTCTAAGTTTGGTCCCACTTTGTTTCTTATTATCTTTATAGCTTTGGACTTGACCTCTATTCTTCTGATCCACCTTGAGTTTCGTTTATGATGAAAGGTATGGTTCCTACAAGCTTTCTATGAGTAGATACCTAGTTTTGCAGCACTATTTGTTGAAGAGGTTGTCTTTTCCCCATTTGATAGGTTTTCTTTTCCTTCTCAAATACCAATTGACCACAGGTACATGAGTTAATTTCTTGGCTCTTGATTCTGCTCCATTGCTCTAAGTGTCTGTCATAGTACTAATACCATGTTTTAGTTACTAGGGATCTATAGTTGACTTTGAGATCATGAAGTTCTATGCTTTCCATCTATTTTTGTCTTTAAGAAGTGCTTTCCACTTGGTTCCAATCCACTCTGGTAGTCCATCTTTCCAAGCATGCTGCTCTTCTCTGAGGAATAACCTTGTTATAATAATAATAATAATAATAATAATAATAATAATATATAATAACCTTCTTAAGTATATCAATTTGTGGTTGGCTATTGTGAATGGTATTGAATTATTAGTTTCCTTTTCCGTGTTTTCTTTGTTATTGTAGTGAAATCCCACTGATTTTTGTATGTTGTCATTGTTGTTAAGTGCCATCAAGTATAGCCAGGAGTGACTTCTATAGAGCAAGTGGACATACCAGGGTTATAAAACCTAGAAGAATGTTTCACCAAAAACAATTAAAGGCAATTAAAAATAATTAGAGTCACCTACCTTTGGCTTAGGAGCATTACTTTCTGTCCACTAGGCCAACTGATCTCTATGCTATTGTTGTTATTGTTGTTAAGTGCAGTCGAGTCATAAGCGACTCATAGTGACCCTTTGGCTTGGGAGTATTGCGATTTTTGTAAACTGATCTTATATACTGCTACTCTACTGAATTGGTTTATTAGATATAGCAGTATCTCTTTCAGGCTTTGGATATTTCTGTATACAGTACAATACTATCTGAGTGTAGAGACAGTTTTACTCTCTTTCAGCCAACTTTGATGCCTCTTATTTCCTTTTCTTATCTTATTCTAGCAATTACTTTCAGTACGATATTGAATTAGGAGAGGTAAAAGTGGACATGCTTGTCTGGTTACTATTCACAAGTGGAACACCTTTTGTCTTCTCCATTGAGAAGATGATCTCTCTGTATCCTTGCCTCCAAATAGCCCTGGTTGAACTTTAATCAAGATATAAATTTTTGTTCTTTAAGGAGTCCATAGGATACACAGTTCATTTACCCAATACCATAACTCAAAAGTGTCAATTCTACTGTCATCCTTGTTCATTGTCCAACTTTCAGATGCATGGCTAGCAATTGAAAAGACCATCGCATCACTTGAATCAGGTGTACTTTATTTTTTAAAAATAGTGTCATTGTTCCTTATAACTTTTAGGAGGTACTTGATAGCAGATTCCCCCCCCCCAATGAAACATGTCTTTTGGTTTCTTGACTGCTGTACCAAGGGTTGATTATAGATCTAAGTAAGATGAATCATGGACAATTACATTCTTTTCATCATCTATTATGATGCTATCTCTTGGCCTAATGATGAGAATTTTTATTTTCATGATATTTTGTTGTCATCTATATTGAGGGCTATAGTTTTTGAACTTCTCAGCAACTGTTTCAAGTTTTCTTCACTCAGAGCAAGAAAGGTATGTTATCTGCATAACAGTTTGTTAATAAATCTTTCTCCAATCCTGAAGCTACATTATTATAAATTCCACTTCTCAAATGATAAGTTCAACATACAGATTAAGTAGTTATGTAGAAAGGATACAGCTCTGACATACACCTTTTTAAATTTTAAACCATGCAGTATTCCTCTTCTCTTTGATCAATAGCCTTTGGGTCTATGTATAGGTTTCATATGAATATAATTGACTGTTCTGGGATTTATATTCTTCTCAATGTCAGCCATACATTTTTGTGATCCACACCGTCATCCATCTTCATAGAGTAATTAATACAAAGATAGATATAATTCTAGTATTCTCTGCTTTCAATCAAGATCCTTCCTGACATCATCAAAGATGCCCTTAATTTAATGACCGCTTCTAAATCCTGCTTGAATTTGCAGATCTGGCTTAAACCTGCACCCTTTTAGAGGAAGCCAGATGACCTGGGTCTGAGCCTACACCTAGTGGAAGAAGGTAGACAACGTCCATGTCATGGTATCTGTACATTTTCTTGTCTTTTTATTTTGCCTTTAGGGGTATAACACTTATTTGACTTTCTATTTTATCAGGAGAGTGACTTGCATGTTGCTGCTTGTTTTATAGTTTAGGTATATACAGGTATGCTTGTTTATCATCTGTGCTTCTGAGTATAGCACTTATCTGTCAGTTTGCTGTACTGGGGTGAATTAAAGGTTGTTGCTGAAAGCTATGCCACTGGTATTTCAAATACCAACAGGGTTACAGTCACTTCAGTAGAACTTCCAGACTAAGAGAGACTAAGACTCAGGATTCTTAGTCTCTCTGCCATCAATTTTTGAAACAGTAACAATTAGCTATTTAATAGACTGAGAGATATATACCAGCCCCCTTCAAATTGATGGTGCACGTGTTTCCTAAGCATTTTCCTGATTAGGAAGTATTGCTTGTATCTTTCATACTACAACATAGCTGATTTCTCATTTGCTGGATGACTAGTCATCCTTTTCTGTAATTAACGTCTAGATTATTTTTATTTCGTATGTATATATAGAATAACATATATATATATATATATATGCACAACATATTGTATAGTTGTATACCTGAATCATATTGTTTACTATATATGAGGCTATACACCAAGATACACCAAGTACTTATAATGTATTAAATTACTAAGCCTCTGTGACCTGATTAGTGTCATCTGAATTTTGAATGAAGTAGAGCCATTGGAGATACAGTTTGGTACAGTAGTTTGCCCATAGCCAGGTAGTTGAATCCATACAGCTTTTATCAAACACATCTAGGATTCAGACTTTCAAGGAGATATGAATCTAGAGTCCACATTTGCAGACACTAACCAATGTTGCCCCTCAAGATGAGTGATCCATTTAAAAGCACACATAAATCTTCAATATATTTATGTTATCCAAATAAAAGGAAAGCATTGTTAAATATTTTCACTTCATCCTGATTATGTGTATATATTCCTCATCTTGTGCTCACTACCAGTGTTTTAATTCTTATTTTTCCTATACAAATTATGTCCAAAAAACAACTTTTCTTTGTGTGTTTTTTCCATATTTATATGACATTTTTAACAAGTAAAAAGATAGAACATAAAAGTCTTGGATGAAAATAATAGAATCACTATTAAGTGGGTAATTCCAAGTGAAGTCAATTTATTAAACATAAAGAACTTTTCTCAACTCTACAGATGCTTAAGACACAGGGAAAGGCTGAAGAAGAGAGAAACAGAATTGCAGTGAGGATGCTAAGCATGAGGTCACGCAATATAAGTTTTTTTTTGCTGCTGAGTCACTTCTTGATTTGTAACAGTAAAATAGAAAAACCAAACCAAACCAAAACACCCACAAAACACCCAAAACTGTGCTACAAAGCTGAGGTTACACAGTTCAAATACACTAGCAGCTCCACCAGAGAAGTTTGGGTAATCTCCTCCCATCTGAGTGACTGCCTCTGAAACCCCAGAGGGTCAGCTATGGGTGGGTGCTGACTCGAAGGTACACAACAACAGCAACACCACAACACAGGTAACATGGAAAGCATATTGTGACTCAGTAGTGAAATTAGAGGACAGCCAGCTTTGACATATTTCAGTCATGGTTCTGATAACATTACCTACCATTAGAATTTCTCTTGATGATGAAATTATCAGAATTAGTAAAGCTAGATGGGTTTTTAAATCTCTTTTAACTTCTATTAATTCTTTGTGGATTTTTTTGTATTAGTAAGTCAATTAAACGCAATGCTAAGTTTTGATGGGCAATTGCCATCAAAAGTCAAAGATTAAAGTTGAATCTAAGTACATTGGTGCCAGCTGTAAAATCTATTTTTCTCTAACAAATAGCATCTTCTTTATAAGAAAAAAGTTCCCTTATCAATTTAACAGCAAAGATTTCCCAAACTCTCATAAGATTAAAAATATTACTGATTTAGTAGTATTAGAAGATAATTTTCTTCTTTCACTCACAGAGAGCAAGCGATCTACAGCAAGAGAATGATACCGAGAGTTAAATAAAGAGAACAGTGATGAACAAAGATACTAAAAGAGAAAAGTTTCTAAAATTCTCTGAAATCAATTCATTCCATCTCCTCTATAGTTTCTTCACTTACTAGGCAATTGTAACCCACCAGTAACACAGCAAGGTGGTTCATAGGTGCTAGAAGATTCCAGGATTTGTGACTCAGAGCCCTGATGATTCATTTGACTAGATTGACATTCCAAACTTTGGCAATTCTTAGCCACATAATTCTTGGGTGGGCAGCTCTTGGCCAAATAGCTTCCAGGTTGGCAGCTCCAAACTGTGTGACCTGTTTGCTGGCTGTTTTCTAACTTGTAAGAGTGGGTAACACACTCCGCTGCTGAGGCAGCTCCTTCTTGGCATGTTGTCCTTTCACAGGTCTTAGTATTAGTGCACATTGTCTGAACAGCTCTGGGGAGGCAGGCACTTTGCAGACAGCAATCCTTTGAGCACACATTCTGATCACAGTTGGTCAGCTGGCAACTGGTAGTTTCACTGCAGGTTTCTTGAAAGCTATCCAGAAGCCAGGTTCTGCTATGGTAGCTGCTGGGTAAGCAAAATCCATCTTCAAAGCTCACAAGATCAGAGCCATGAACAATGGCTGAAAGTGGTGGGGCATTGTAGAAGCTCCTGAGTGAGTGGCAACTGCTGAGGGACATAATGCTAAGATCTTGATTGTTGCTGCTCGTAAAGACCCACCATACTGAGTCTGAAGATTGAATTCTTTTCTCGGAAGACTATATACTCACAAAACTGGGTGTTGCCTTCTTCCTGAGACTTTTTTTTTCCACATTAATGCTTAAGTTAATTTGGAGAGTAGCATCTTATTAGCATTTTGTTTAGTTATGTGTGAAGATGACATCTTATTAACAAAGAACCAAGTTCATCTGAATCTTCAAAATGGCTTTCATCTTAACCCCAGAGCTGAGTCAGACTCATTCTAGGGTGTACCAAGTATGAGTCTTAACATGCCACCCAAGCTAACCTCTTTCTTTTTCTTTTTTTCTTCACCTCATGGTTACCATGGCTCTCTGTGTTGGTAAGTCAACATTAAAGGATATAGGTAAGAAACAACTAATTGAACACTAGTTAAAATTTAACATTGGGGTTCTGAGAGATCATAGCGAGATGTTTTTTCATTACATTTTCAATGAAAAGATCAATTGAGTTCTTGCTTATTCATCTGAAGGTCCTGTTCTCTCCATTTGAGCGGAAAAAAACCCACAAAAAAACCCCCAAAAAGTAAATTTGAAATGGTATTCTGTTGGACCATAGACCCTAGGTAAGGAAAGTAATTTGTGCTTTTGTGTAGCATTTAGTTCCCCTCAACTCCTTGAAGGTCAAATTTAAATGTTCTCTGTTTAACACACCTTTGCCTAATCACCTCATTTAGAAATGATTGTTTCTTTCTCTGAATTGCTAATAGATTTGACCCTTTCTTTGTTATTTGTTTGTTATGACTTGACAGACACCAAATATTGCATTTACTTGTGCTTGTAATTTTCAAAGGTTGGAATTTGTCTTTGCAATAGACTTATGTAGGATATAAATTTTATTTTGCTTTGCTTATTCCACATTTAATCCATTATATAACCAGCTGCTACATTTGTCATATCATTGATATTTTACCTAATTTCCTACCCACAGCACAGAATCTACCAGCACAATTCCCATTGCATTTTGCTTAGCTTAGATTATGACAATATAACAAAACAAAAACATGGCGGATTTTAAATTCATTCACTGTTGTACATTTTTCTCCCTCCCCCTCCTATTCTCCTTCCCTAGTTCACTTTGCAATGAAACTCTTGTTCCTCATTGTTGTCATACATGTAATGCCTAATCATATATTCCTTTCATAAAGCTCTTCCTCTTATCTGTTCCAGTGCAGTGTTCATTATCTATCCACTCTTTCCCTATTCTCCCCTGAATCCTCCATGTCAGTCCTGTTTTAAGAACAGCATTTTAGCCTCCATTTCCTCTGTTTGAAGAAACACTGATTTTATATATATTTTTTCAGAAATTCTGAGCAACTTTTTCTAAAAACTTCTCCTTTGTATGTGAAAGACTGAGGATGCTTCAAGGACCCATTTGACTATACTCAGGAGGAAAGGATAGAATTGATACATAATACTTGTGTAACACATGAAAGTTATAACTCTAATGTCTACTCTTGTGTGTTTAAAGTTCTCATATGCCCTCTTCATGAACCTATGACAGGCTCTTTAATCTTTATGAATGTTTGGGTTTGCTATTGTCCAGACACTTTGATCCTGACATGATTTTTTCTGCTTAATTATCTTAAATGGATTTTTATTGCCCTTGAGCTTCATTACCCTTATCCTAACCTAAATCACAGTATGAGACCTAAGAGCTGCTTACTTTTCTGTTTCTCATTTTTGTCTTCCTCTCAGCCTCATATGCGTCATTCCCACAGTCTTGCCTCCATTCTGTGAGCACGGGGAATGTTCTCGGCTCCCTGCTTTACACTTGCAGCTGTGCATCTGAATTGTCCTTTCATTGCCCTCCTTTACTGCTAATATTGCTTGGTTTGGTCTTATTTTTTGTCAGAGCTTACAAGTTCTTTCTTAAAGTGTTATCTCTCATTACCATATCCAAAAAAAGGATTCTAGTCTCAAGGCTTTATTTTCTTCCCATGTAGAATTTAACTCTACTTATGCTGATTTTAAAGAGTCCTAGGTGGCAGAAACTATGAAATTGCTACTAACATGAAAGTTTGGTGATTTGAATCCACCCAAAAGTGGCCCCCAAATCCTAGATATCAAGAGTTCTACTTTCACACTTGGGACTGCCATGAATTGGAACTGATTCAACAGCATTAAGTTTTATTATGATGTTTTTATTTCTTTCTGAATTGTGTCTCTCTTTACCACTAGCCTACGAATTACACAAAGACAAGAAGTACATAGAGTGTTATCCCCCTGTCTCCAACACTGAGCTAGAATTTGTCTAACAAATAAGAATTCTACAGATATATGTTGAAAAACCAGGAATAAAAGGTGCAAATAAAAAGAAATAGCAGTCTTGAAATCTTGTTATAAACCAGTAGCATTGAAAGAATCAGCAAGCTCATGGAGCATAAAGAAATAATCTATCCATGTTCACCTTCCAGCTACTTCTTTGTAAAATTAAGAGGGAAAAAAATCACTGCCACTTATTAGAATGGCACAAGCTGAGACACTGTTTTGGAGTAATGTTCGATTGTACGTAGGTATATTTTAAAAACTTTTTACCATAAGAATAGGCACAACTTTTCACTTCCAGCATAGAGTGTGATTGCTAAATTCTATGGACAAAAAGTAGGCATAGTGTAGGCTAGCATTCACATAATAGTCTCCAGCAATCAGCCTTATTAACCTCACAATAACTCATAAATTAGTGAGGAGCTGTGAGGTTCCATATCAATCTTATGTGCTCCAAATGCTGGAAGGTAACATTAAGGCTGTCATTTGTAAATGAAGCCACTCCATGAGTTTTGTTCCCTTTAGGATGACACATTAGCTTTCATATTCTATTTAATTAAGTGTTGAATTAATAGAGGTTTCAGCATGCAATTTTGATTTAATGAGCAAACACAGATTTTGGCCGGTACTGATTTTATAGAGGGAGTTATTTGGTTCACGCCTATAGATTGACGTAGACTGAAACAACTGTTAACCTCAGAAATGTTTTTATGTAATCTATTAAAAACCAAGTGTTGGCTTTGTAAGCACTTAATATTATTAGCTAGTCTACTTCTACATTTTAAAAATAATTATCTGGTATTTGTATTCTACACATATCAGAAGCAAGTTAAAACTAGTTTTTTAAAAAAATACATGTGTTACCTTTGATAGCTGAAATTTATATGTTGAGTGGGTTTCAGGCACAACACAAACAGGCCCATAGCTTGAGTCTCTTCCTCATGTCACTTTTGCAAGCAGTTTGATGTCCTTATGGTTGTAAAGGTGCTTGTAAATACTGTGCAAGTCTATGTGATTTCTTGTACATATTGAAACAACAAACTCTCTCCTAAATATGAACAAAATTTCTTCTGTTTACTCTGACTGCAGTAGTTTGTACTATGAACCCCTCCGCGCGCGCGCGTGCACACACACACACACACACACACACACACACACACTAAAGCAGAGAAGCTAAAAAACAGGGAGAGACAGAACCAAAATTAAGAAAAATGTGATTCCATTAGAATAGAGTCATTATAATATTCATGAAAAATAGATTTAAAAAGTTACTTAGTTGATATTGTGAGATGTCTCTGCTTGAGTGTAACTCACATCAACCCAGTAAAAAATCAGATCAAAACCTTACCCTATCCTGTCCCAACCGTACAGTCTCTATCATGTCTAACCTCATTTTGCTGTCATTGTCAATACATTCCATTAAGGGTGTTTCTCTCTTTCAGAGTATCTGCTTTTCCAAGCATGATGTGTTTTTCCAAGAACTAGCACTTCTTGAGGAGACCTGGTGATAAGAAGCTAAGCTGCAATCCCAAAGGCACAGAGTTCAAATCCACTAGCTATTTCATGGGAGAAGGATGACAAGTCCCCTCCCCTGCAATTTACTGCCTCTCAAAACCTGCTGGAGGGTCAGCTTTGGGTTGGTTCCAGCTAGATAGTACTCAACAACAACAACAGTGCCTCCTGAGAACATTCCCAAAGTATGCCATGGATGCTTTGGGGATTAAATATTTCGTTATTAAGTAACTGAAAACCAACTCCTTGGCTTTATGATCTATGAATGATTGACTCTACAAGGTCATCTGCTAACCACGAGAAGGCAGAACAGCGATATTTACCGTAGTCCCAACTCAGATTCACTGGCATAGAGTCAGTTTCAAGTCCTAAATTATGATGGGAAGAGACTGCCTATCTTTCTTCTGAAGAGTAGTTGGATTTAATCTACCAGAGAAGCATCCTTTTGGTTAACAGTGCCAGATCTCCCCACCACACTTTTGCTGCTGTTGTTAGTTTCAAAGCTTAAATGAGATAATAGTTACTAAAACCAAACCAATTCCACTGTTGTCAATCACTTTGGACACATAGCAACCTTCCATCTGTTTTCTAAGGATGTGAATCTTTCTGAGTGGAGACTGGTCGTTGTTCTCCTGAGGAGCAGCTGGTGGATTTGAACTAAAGATGTTTCAATTAACAGCCTGACATGCCCATAGGACTCTTAAGATAACAGATAAAAGGCTCCAAATTATTTGGCATATATTAAGTTTCTATAAAATTAGTCATCTTTTCTGATCAGGCTAAGGACCTCCATGGAGACAAAAAAATGTCTAATGAAAAAAATTAATTTAGGGTTGGTAGAAAATAATAAGAAAAAAATTAAGAGACTATCTTTTTAAAGTGTTTTCAAATATGTTGCTTGGGTCTACAAATTATCTCATCCCATATTTTAAGATTTGCATTGTAATTATCATTCCAAGAGAAACCTGTTTAACTTATTACCACCTCTCAAGAGAGCAAGACTTGGGAGTTATATGGTTGAATTGTTTATATTGCTTTCATTTTAGTTATATGATTATGCTGGAATTCTAATTACTTGTTCATCACATGTAAATAATAAAAATCAGACCAGTTATTCCTAAATAATTTTCTTTAACCTTGGTTCACTTTAGTCTCGCAAATAA